TGATGACTCCAAATTATAGAAAGCAGTGAACAAAAACTGCAGAGTAACCGACAACAATCTTTCATCCTTCCCTAGATCTGGGGATGGTGCTGGAGGCCTGGAGAATTGCAAATGTTATGCCTTTGTTGAAAAAAAATCATGTAAAGATATGCCCTGCAACTACAGACAGTTCATTTTGAAGGTGGGAAAGCTTTTAGAAACAGTTATCTGACAAGAGAATTAATAGCCATACGGAAAAATATGGGTTAATTCAAAAGAGCGCAATTAACACATTAAGGAAAAATCACATCTAACTAACTTGCTGGAACTTATTTGGACAGGCAACAGAGAAGGCTGATGAGGGCACTGTTGTTGATATGGTGTATATGAACCTCCAAAAACCATTTGATACAGAATCACAGAACAGACTTGACAAAAATGATAACTCATGGAATATAAGGGACAGTAGTAGCATGAATAAAACTGGCTGAAGGACAGGAAACAGAGTAATTGTTAGTGGGCATTTTTGAGGCTGGAAGAAGGTTTACAGTGGAACTCCCCAGGAGTCAGTATTCATGCTGCTGCTTTTTCTGAAATATATATAAATGATCTGAACCTTGGTGTGCAGAGGGGCATGGATCATTTCAAAGCTTTCATATGATACAGAATACAATATAAACTGTCAGGACAGTGAAGAACTTCAAAAGGGCACTGGCATGTTGGTAGAGTGGACAATGGGCGGCAGATGAAGTTCAATGTAAAGAAGTAGGAGGTAATAACAGAATATGTATAAAATAAAGGGCACTATTCTAAAGGATATGTAGGAGCAGAGACTTGGATGTTGATCTGTATAATTCATTAGCAGTGGCAGGATAGGTAGACAGAGCATTAATAAAGCAAATAGCATTCTAGGTTTCATTAATAGGGACACAAAATACAAGAACAAAAAGGTTATGGTTAACTTACTTAGGGCACCAGTTATACCCTAAAAAGGAATATCGTATACTGTTCTGGGCACCACTTTATAAAGGATGTAAATGTATTAGAGAGAGTGCAGACAAAGTTGACAAGAACGATTCCAGGGATGAGAAATTTCAGTTACAGAGATAGACTGGAAATGTTGGGACTGTTTTCCTTGGAGAAGAGGTCAAGAGGAGATCTGATAGAAGCTTTCACAATCTTGCAGGATCTGGATACAATAGAGAGAGAAACTGTTCCCACTCATAAGGTGACAGAGAATCAAAAAGCAAAATATTTTGCAAAAGGAAGCAATGTGAGGGGAGAGGAAAAAAAACTTTCCCACACAGAGGGTAGTTAGGGTTTGGAATGCACCGCCTGGAAGTGGATTGGAGGCACATTCAATTGAGGAATTCAAAAGGGCATTAGATGATTACAGAAATAAAAACAATATGCATGCTTATAGGAAAAAGATGGGAGATTGGCACTAAGTTAAAATGCTCAAAGTCTGTGAAAGCCTGGTGAGCGGAATGGCTTCCTAACGTACCCGAACAATCTGTGACTCTATAAAGTGCTTAAGTACAAAGAGAAGTATTGCCTTTTTTTTTTAAAAAAGTTTGCTCCAAACATATCTTAGCTAATTCATGCTGCCACCATCCAAATGTTCATACTGATATTTCTCGATCATACAATTTTCCTCTCTCACTGACAAGTACAATATTTTCAGTTCAAGCTGATTTAGCAATCCCATTCAATTTTTTTCAAAGGGTTGAGAAAGTAGGGTTAAGGTTCGGCATCTCCTTGTTTTATATTATAACTAACAGTTGTAGCATTTTTGTTTTACTTCATGCAATAAACAATAGTTTGAGGTTTAATAATTTTGGTACAATTATGAAATAATGAGCTGTTATGAAAGTGCTGGTTTGCCAATGACTACTCCATGCATCGAATATAGATCAAATAGGCTTCACCTATGAAAACTAAAATATTTCATAGTTGTGCTTTACTATTGTGATCCGAGTTTTGGAGTTAAGCATTCATAAAATCAGCTTTGAAGGTTCTCTCATCGCCATAATACATGGCAGTATTGTAAATAGGTACAGTTTGATCACAGGCAGAGAAATATCATGTAGTTGTATTTAGTATTGATCTGCTATGGTTGCAAACAGCATATTCCTAGTTACTGAATGTATGAAAACTTCCAATATTTCAAGTGTGGTATAACAACATCCATGTGAATCATGATTGTGTAACTGATTGCATCATTCTGACACTATTAAGAGAGCAGACAATGTAGAATGGGAATGTGAAGAGAATGATCTCAGACACTACAAGACCGTTGTTTTTGATAATTTACCACATACAAAAGTAAGTATAGAAATGATACAGTACACAAGGAGGTGAAGATCCTTATTTAGGGATAAGGAGCAAGTACCTCAGGAGACCTCAAACCAAACTTCTATCAACAATAATCTAGACAGGGAAAATAAGGATTGGAATATTTAGCCAGAGAAAAGAGAATACCCAAGTACTCACTCAGAGCTGTCACAGCAGCTCCAAGAGAGACCTTGCAACTACCTCAACCATTTGATAACAGAGACAGACCACAATAAGATTATGAGTTGATCTCAATCAGTTTAAAAAATGGAGTTAGAAGGGAGATCCATACCATTTAATATGTTAATGATATTTTGGTAAAATTGGCAACAAACACATTTTTCACTGGATGCAAACAATGGGTTCTTGAGATCTCCTCTGCATCAGAAATTTTCAAAGGGCAATGTTCAGAATCCTGGAAAGGAATGACTTCCTGATGCATACTATTGTTACACAGTCCAATAGAGAAGTAAGCATAATAATTCCCATATGAATAAATGGGGAGGGAACAGAATGAGGGTCAGGGTCATGTTAATGCACCATAGAACTCAGACCTTAAACTGAATGAGAAATGCCAATTCTCTGAGATAATTACATCTCTAGGATATATTATTCTAGGTCAAGGCATTATGGTGGATCCAAGGAAGACAACAGAGCCTTCAGTGAACATTTGGTACCAAATGATGTGCAGTGCCTCTTAGATATGGTGAACAACGTAGAAAAGTTTATGTCCAAGTTAACTAATAAAATTCAACCCGTAATAAAGTCTATGGAAAAAAAAGCCAGCAATAATCAGAGTCAGGAACAGACTGCAGAGTTTGGAAATGTTAAACAGAAACTACTTCCTGCTGATGTTTTAGCATTTTACAATCCAGACAAATTTGCTACATTAGCAACAGATGTGCATCACACAGGGCTAGGGAGCAATCCTTATCCAATTACAAACTAATGAAACATCAAAATTGGTCCACCTTACATTGAGAGTTTTCATGGAGACAGACCAAAAGCACACACCATAGAGAAGAAAGCATTAGCAGTTACATGAGGATATAAAAGTTCAGCAGACCACATCATGGGAGTGAAACTTCAGGTCGAAATAACCATAGCCTTTGATAGCATTTTTGAAATCATAAGAAATTTCAAAAAAAAAAGCTCCTCCACATAAAAAGTTGTCAGGCTTAGACTGATGAGACAAGTATAGTATGTTTAGTCCATGTTCCAGACAAAAGTCTAGCAATAGCAGACATACTCTTGTGAGCAGGAATGGATCAAGTAGAATAGAAAGATTTTATTCCTATAGAACATGTATAGTCTTGGTCTACATCAATAGCCAACATATTTCTGAAGAAGGGTCACTGGATCTGAAATGTTAACTCTGCTTTCTGTCCATAGATGCTGGCCAGACTTGCTGAGTTTTCCCAGCAATTTCTGTTTTTGTTTAGGATTACACATTCCTGTGTCAAATGTGTGCCATATACAGTGAAAGGCCTACACAGCCAATTATTTCAAAGATCCCAGGAAGACCATGAGAAAGGCTAGCAATAGATATGCTGGATTTTGAAGGGAAAATGTACTTAGTCCTGGCTTGCTATTATTCACTATGGATTCAAGAGGCAAGACTGCACTTATCCACTGCAGATTCAATGATCAGAACACCGCAAATTTTGTGATACACACTTTCCTGGAAAAATTAATATTGGATGATGGACCTTAGCTTATGAGCAAGGGTTTCAGGAAGTTTACTCTGGAAGCAGGCATTTTACTCGATGGCAAGTTCTCCACTTGCTCCTCAGTAAGAAAAGCAGAAAGAGCAGTGAAGACTGTTAAGTTACTAATGCATGAGAATCCAGACTGGGAATTAGCTCTACTCAATTACAGAGCAACAACATTGAATAATGATGAATAATTTGCCAATGAAATTGTTAATGGAGAAGTGATTACCAATGGACATATCAGTTTCAGAACATAATCTATCAAGATCATAGGAAAGTAAAACAGAGAAAAGCAGCAGAGGTCATCTAACTGCAGATACAGGGTGAAAACTCGTTAACCTTAAAGTCAGGGCATAAATTCTAGTTAAAGGACACTAGGTCAAAAGCCATAGCCATCAGACAAACAAATCAATTAAGATCTTACATTGTCAGACCACCTGAAGGGACTTCAGGAAGAACAGGATAGCAGGAGCCTGGGGGATCCCAACAAATGGGTTTTGGATCAGAGCTTTGTTCATCTTTACATATTTTTCAAAATCCAGAAATGTGAAAATTACACTTCTGTGCTGTTAACATTTCTTCCAATGCAGACTTATCTTCAACTGCACTCTTATCTTCAACTACATTCTGTAACAGCCATTATTTTCTGCAAGTGATGTTCAGTTTTGACAAGAAGAAATCATTTACAGAATGTGGTGTCAATTTTCTAATAAATATTCTGAAATGTAACGTAATAAGGAAGTTAATTTACCAAGCCATTTTGAAGCACTGCCATGCTACATTCATTAAGGACTGGGTTTTTAGTTTGTTTTCAGGCTTGGGTTAGGCTTCTTCTGGTGACTGTTAACTTCCCTGAGCTTTTTAGGTAGACAGCATTTCAGGATATGCACTAAATATTTTAAAATAACGCAATAGGATAATTTGAAAATTCTTTGTAACCACCAGTGTGACTGTTTAAAAGAAAAAGCAGCCTACCTGCCTGAAATGTTCTTCAGTATTGCCAATGCATCAGGGAAGCCATCCATGTTGTAGTCCCCTAAATGAATTGAGATTGGAAATGGAAATGGCTGCTGTGGTGTTGAATCTTGTGAAGTAAATCCCCAAACAGTGTTGCCATTCTTCAGATTTGACAATACAGGTATCCACTGTTAATGTTAAACACAAGGAATTTTAAGTGGAAAAATAATTATGTCCCATTTATCATAAAGTAACTTTAAAGTCATATTGTTAAACCAATCTCTCTGAAAATGTACCAATTTTCCTTAAAAACCATTCATAAACATCATATAACAAGTTGCAATTTGAAAAAATAATAACTGCACTATCCTGCTTCTAATTATGCTGCACAAAGATTTGACCTAGACAGTATATATGATACAAACTCAAAAACTTGGAATGTGCAACAAGCATCTAATGAAGATTATAATGTTAAAGGTGAATTATTTGGCAACATATTATTTTCAGGGGAAAAAAAAATTGAACACTTCATGTATAATCCAGTAGTGATGATTTAGTTCTCCTAATAATTTAATATTTAACTTATCTGAGTCAGTGTACAAGCCTTTCCATGTTTCGCTCACATGTGATGCGCTGTCTAATAAATAGTCGTCTTGTTAAATACAGAAAAAGCATAGGGAAGGCGACGGCCTAGTGGTATTATCACCAGACTGTTAATCCAGAGACCCAGGTTTGAATCCTGCCACGGCAGATGATGGAATTAGGTTGTTGCATGGTGGTGAAATGTCTGAACAAAAACAAGCCAGCTCGGCGAGCAAGTTAACAACCTCATCCACAACCTGAGCTACAGATCTTTGCCAATGCTTTAGATGGTGGAATTTGAATTCAATAAAATATCTAATGATAACAAGAATCCATTGTCAATTATCAGGAAAAACCCATCTGGTTCACTGATGTCCTTAGGGAAGGAAACTGCCATCCTTGCCTGGTCTGGCCTACATATGACACCAGATCCACAGCAATGTGGTTGACTCTGAATTGCCCTCAAGGCAATTAGAGATGGGCAATAAATGCTGCCTAGCCACCGATGCCCTTATTCCATTAATGAATTAAAAAATCATGCTTTCTGTGAATCTGGATTTAAAACAAAGGTAATTTGGGGAATTTTGAATAATTTTATGACTTTAAGAACATAAGGGCTTATTTTTCAGTGCACCATCGCATTGAAGCCTGACAATATTGTTGTGGAGATGATGGTCGGGGAAGGAACAATTGAAGGTTTTATATAAGGGTTAGAGGTTGCAAGAAGGTAAGAACAGTAGAGATTTATAGTGTTGATGGGGTACATTCACACCACTCCTTAAATCCTGACTCCTCATGAGATAAATTCAAAACTCCAATGTATGGTCTTAACAAGATTTTAGTTAGTGAGTTACATAAATGAGATTAACCACAATTATCAGTTGAATTACTACCAGAGAGGGAGAGAGATAATCAAACTCAAACGTGAGCTGGCACTCTGAGCCCTGTATCACCTCAACACAAGTTATCATCTTCACTGTCAATTTCATTGTCAATTTTTATATTATCCTGTTTCAGTTCTGTCTGTACCTTGTGGATAAGACTTACTAAATGTTACTTTTCTCTACTTTTCTCTGTAATTTTAATGCCAATAACTTTAATATTGGTGCGTTTTTCTCTATTCTACAATTTCATTGTTGAGTCTGTGTTAATACTCGAATGTTTTAACAAGATAGACACATTTGGGTGGCATGGTGGCTCAGTGGTTAACAATGATACCTCTCAGCACCAGTAACCAGGTTTGATTCGAGCCTTGGGTGACTGTACAGAGTTTTTTCTCCAGGTGCTCTGGTTTCTTCCCATAGTCCAAAAGATGTGCAAGTTAGTTGATTGGCTATGCTAAATTGTCCGTAGCGTCCAGGCATGTGGAGACTAGGTGAATTAGCCATGGTAGATGCGGGCTTACAGGGATCAGGTAGGATGCTCTTTAGAGGGTTAGTGCAGAATCAATGGGCCAACTGGCCTCTTTCTGTACTGTAGGGAATCTATGATCTCCGAGAGAAAATAATTGATGGACTATTCTCACTTTCTACTGCACTTTCCTTATGACACAGCCTGTTTTGATTGAATTAGCCTAGTCACTTTATACCAATTCAGGGAAGAACCATTTCCAGTTTTTGCTGTGATTTTCCAAGTTTTGGTCTCACACTGGGCAGGTGGGACGCAGTTCCAGAAGTAGATTTAATAATGAACTTCTGATACCAACAAAGGAGCACAGAACTATTCCTGTTGTTGACAGATTGTGGCACTTATGGAAGAATCTGTTCTTTGCTTCTTAGCGCAGTTGCAGTTATGGAATATTATAGCATGAAAGGAGGCTTTTTAGTCTATTAGTTAGCAACTAAAGAATCCTTATTTATAAATAAAAATAAATAAATATAAATAAAACTACTACTTCCTAACAATGGGGCACGGATAGGGAAGACAGGAAGAAACTTATCCCCTTGATGGAGGGATCAATGACTGGGGTATACATTTAAAGTAAGGGGTAAAAGGTTTAGAGGACACGTGAGGAAAACTTTTTCACCCCAAGGGTGGTAGGAATCTGGTAGTGCTAAAGGCAGAAACCCTCTTAAAATTTATAAGTGTTTAGATCTTGAAATGCTAAGGCACACAAGGCTATGGGCCAAGTACTGGTTAATGGGATTACAATTATTAGGTTGTTGCTCTTAACCGGTGCAGGCATGACAGGCTGAAGGGTCTTTTTTTGTGCTGTAGATCTCTACGGCTTATTAGTAAAAACTAATTTGAAATTATCTTTTTGAAATGAGTATTATTGAGCATAAGGCATTAGTTACTAAGCTACTAAAATATTTAAACTGAAGCAGTATGTGGACAAATGGGGTGGCACTGAATATTTATTCCAGCAGTCAACAGTTATACAGTACATTTTGTCCATTGATTGAAAGTACAACAGCTCGTTCTCACCGCAAATTTCATCCATGATGGATTTGGAATTGCATGTAAATACAGATTTACACACGACATGACATGAAAGTATCTGTTTAGAGAAACTGCAATGCAATCCAGACCTGAATGCAAGTTAGTTTTGTTGCTAGGCAACCAACTTGAAGATAGACCTTCAAAGCAGTCATTTTAGAAATATAAAGCTCTTCAGATTTCTATTCATACAATGAAAGCAAACTAATCCAACTAAATTTCCAACACTGGGTAGTCAGTTTTCAGTCTAACAGACAAAATTGAGTTCCAGTATCAGATCTAAAGCAACCCCAAGATGTTGCTCCTGATATGTCTCCTTAAGAAACAATATGAGATTGACAATATGTGTGCAGATATTGGACATAAAAGTTATGCGCACCAAATGTTAGATTTGAAAATAACGAATGCATGGTTTCCATTCATTGGAACTACACCATACAGTAATTGCAGCCCATCAAATGTTTGAAAACCAAATGGTTTTT